TGAGAATTAGATAAATCAATATCCTGAAGGAACTCGAGGCTCTGTTTTTGAGAATCTGGAATGAGATTCTTAGCTTTGGTTTGTAGAATCCTAAATTGAAAGATTTCCTGGTGCATTTATTTTGAGCAGCTGGTAATCTTTCTAGTATCAAAGTCTACTTCTAAATTAAATTTTAGACATTGGTGGAAAATTGAGAATGTCGAATATGAGTTCTCCCTACCTTGCCTAGTCTGTCTGGACCGGCTCTCCTTCCTACTCACTTTAAGAGGCCCCAGAAAGGCCCAATTTTCTCATTACTGCATGATACAGGAAACCCCAGCCCCTATCATGCTGACAACTTCAGAAACTCTTAGAAATCTCAGCTAAAATTAACTTCTTCAAGTTTTCAGCACAACTTGATCTGACATGTATTCCTTTGTTTTGGACTTCTAGAGCGTGGACTAGGAGGGAAGGGAGGAGTAACTCTTCTCCTCCTAAATCCCTTTTCCTTTGCATCTTCCCAGAAGGCTGGGGAACAGAATGAGGAAAGAGGTCAAAGAAGAGGGGAGGGTGGGCAGAGGAGACTCAGGTGAGATGAAACACTGAGGAGAGGGAGGAAGAGGAGGAGGGAGAGGGGAACGTAGGCTGTGGCAGGGGCTAAGAACCCATGGAGGTGCAGGAGCCCTCCACCTCAGACCCCTGACTCCCTGAGCCTGAGCGTGGCCCCAGCCCCTCAGGGAAGCTGTGCATGAGTGTGTACAAGCCGTAAATGCTTCCTTGGACAATCCAACTTCAATATGCTATTCGAGAACTTCGTTCAGCTTTTGTGTGATCAGGAATCCTGTCTCTCTATTCCCACATCCCTTTTTGGCTACCTGGGAGTTCCCATGCCCGTGTGCAGCCAGGATGCTCACAGCCAGGCTGTTCACTACAAGTCCAGCTCCTCTGGGAGGATCCAAGGAGCTGCCTGAAGGGCCCAGCTGGGGAACCACTGCTGAAATCAGACACACTGGACTGAGTGGCCACAGAGGGACTGGAGAAAGGCATGGATGGGTTCCTGAGTCAGAAGCCCGGATTTGAAGTCCAGCTGCCCCTAGGACGTGTGTAACCTTGGACCAATGACTTAGCCATTAGTTTCCTCAGTGTCCCTGATTAACATGCAGAGATGATAACACCTGCTTGGGAAGGGCATGGTGAGGATTAAATAAATTGACACATGTAAAAAGCACATGGAGAGGCTGGAGTTGTGGCTCAGCGGTAGAGTGCCTGCCTGGCATGTGTGAGGCCCTGGGTTCAATCCTCATGTAAATAAATAAAAGATCCATTGACAACTAAAAAACTATTAAAAAAAAAAAAGCACATGGGACAGTTCTTGGCCACAGTGTGTGTCATCTTGAGCACTGGGTAACGTTACCTTACCATCTACAGATGGCAGAGTCACAGAACTGCATGCTAATAGTCCTCAGCATCACTGACACGGGGTTAATCCGTGGATAGGAACATGCTACAGGGATGAGAAGCTGAGCCTGATACCTCCTTTCACAGATGAGAAGGGAAGGACTCAGAGAGCGGTAGGGGCCTGAGTAGTGCTGCAGGGGAGGGGCTGTGCAGTATGAAAATGGCCTCTGAATGCCCTGCCATACTCTTGGTTTCACTGAGCCAATATGCCAACAAGCCTTTCTCCCGTGCTCATTTTGCCACTGAGTCATTTCAGGGGTTTGTTGACTTTGGTTTTTGAGATGATCTGGTTAATCAGGGGAAGCAGTTTCAATATAAGGTGGCCACAGTTTAACAGTTATCATTAAATTGTTATATATGTGACTGTTCATATGTTCCTGTAGATGGATTTTTGGACCATGAACATAGTGTAGAAAAATCTCAAGACAACATTCATCTTCCCTCCTTTGGAGGTGGGAGGAGTCCTGACAGAAGCACAGAAGGTGGTTATAGTCTGATGACATAATCAATCACTGAAGCAGGGAGTCCCTTCTTTATTTGTACCACACACGTTTTGAAGGTTCCCTGCGCCAGGGCAGTGTCAGAGTAGAATCAGGGCTGCACCTGCAGGAATCTAGATGGGTGGTAGAAGCTGAAGGGGCTGCTTTCAACCACTTAGCTATGGCATTTTTTTTCTCTCATTTTGAGTCCCACAGGTATTCAATTGGAAGATGTTTGTTTGCACAGGAAACAGGATCACTTAATAATTATAAGATGACTCCTTTAACACTGACCTTGATAGAACCGAGAAAAGGAAACAAACTTTCAGCAGTTAAAATGATCCTTTTAAACAGTAAACAAAAATCACTTCAGTTCTTGGCTGAAGATATTGTGCTGGTTCCCAATTTCATTTGGACTTGAAGAAGGTCCAATATTTACCAATAGCTACAAGACCCTCCACAGCTCAGCTTTCGTGGTTTAGTCCTCTGAGCGCCTCCCCCCGCACTTACTCAATAGGCTCCAACCAGAGTGTTCTGCCTGCACCTTGATCATGCAGCATGTCCTCACCTTAGGGCATGAGTACAGGTGGTCCCCTCTGTCCATTTGTCCATGTGGCTAACTCTCACTTTCTCTTTTCTCCCTAACGTCCATCACTTCTTAACTATGTGATTTGTTTATTACGTTTATTGTTCACTATTTTCCTCCTCATGAGACCTTGAGTGCCAGGAAGGCAGAGAGCTTTGTCTGTTTTGTTCTCAGATGAGTCCCCAGTGTCCAGCACACCCAGGTACCCAATGAATATTTGTTAATGAATAAGCCACTTGCTAGGGTGCTGGTAGGATAGCAACCACAAATGAGGCTTTGTTGGAGAAACAAATGGCCTTCCACGTAGAACCTCTTTCTCTTTTTATAGAAGAGCTTGCATCTTTCTCTTGCTGTCAGAGCACCTCCCTCTTTTGTCCCACATGTGGTTTGGTGGCTCTCTTTTGGACATGCAGCCAGGTTGAGGTGCAAAGCCCCATGTACATTGCCCTTGTCTTAGCTCCTTGGCAGGCTGTGAGCTGAGTTCTTCTCTCTGTGCCTGCTCAGGAAGGGGGTGTGGGGCTCACAGCACTGGACACTCATCCATCACCGCTCTCTTCTGCACTAGGGCTCTTGTATCTGGGGCCCTAAAGCTGGGGGCCTAAGTGAGGTTCATTCTAGAGAATTTCCAGCACCCTAAAGATGTGGGCTGAGGATCCTGGGCTTTGGCCTTCCGATTCTCCCACGCCCAGCACCTCTGCCACAGGTGGGTGGGGGGTGAAACCAAGTCAGTTGGCAGCTTGCTCTCTGGAGCTTTGGTGAGAGATGGTGAAAACCCAGGGATGAAACTCAGGTGGAGAAGCACTTTGGGATTTCATTTATCCCTGTGATCTCTATCCCCATTACCACTCATCAATGAGAGGGCTATAAAACAGGACCCCCAAGTGACAAGAAAAGGAATCAGGTATTTCATCAAAAAGAGGGAAGCCCTTTCTTTCCTTTTTCTTTTTTGGTCTTGCCCACCAACTCTAGTATCCATGATCTCATCTCTAAAGACCTGAGATTTTAATAGACCATAATTACTTAATCATTCTAGCTCTGCCGTTTGTTCTCAGCTTTAAGTGCCAGATAAACACGTTGTTTATTAAGGAGATAGTCTAAATTTGTAGAAAAACCAAAACAATTTGAGAATTTCTTCATGATAATTCCTGTCTCATAATTAATATCATATAAAAAGAGGAAAAAAGTATTGAAAATGGTTTCCTTTTCAAGGTCTATTTAGAAATGCAAAGCTTTAAGATTTCAATCAGAGTTTTTGTGTTTGTAACTTTAAATCACTGTGGGGACATGCCAGCAATCCTCAGCCAGCACATAGCCTGCTAGGGAGCCTTCACACACCTTGAACCCTTCCAGGGTTGCAGACTACTTTTGATCATCGTGGGAACTCTATTTTTGCTGAAGCTGTGGGTGGAAATTCATTGTCCATGTATCTCAGGCAAAATCGGAGCAGCTGGGCTGAGGGAGTACTGAGGACAGGGGAGGCTTATGACAGAGAAGAGAAGCAAGAGCCAGCATGAGACAAAACTTAGATGGACGAGAAGTTAAAAGGCCCAGCGAAAAGTCAATCGGCACCCCCCCAAAAAAGGGCATGTTTATGGGAAAGTGGGGAATTCTGCTGTTATGGTACAGATCTGGAAGACCTCGCAAAGGCTCGGACAACCTGTTGAAAGTTCTGTCCCCAGTGCAGCAGTGTTCCCAGGAGGGACTCCTGGGAAGTGAATGAACTGGAGGACTATGATCTCACGAGTGGATTTATAATTTGAAGTCCTTATTGGGAGCTAAAGGAGGTGGGACCTAATGGAAGGAGTGGGTCCTTGAGCGACATGCCTACTCCTACATCTTTCCCAGTCTCTTCTCACTCTCTCTGCTTCTCAGCTTTGCTCTGCCACACCCTTCCACCATGGTGTTTTGCCTTGCCCCAGGCCCAAAGCAAAGGAACCAGCCAACCAGGGGCTGAGACCATGAGCCAAAATAAATTTTTATTCCTTTAAGTCACTCATTTCAGGTATTTTGGTCACAGAAAGGTTAGCTGACTAACACATCTGCCTCATGGATACACATTAAACTCAGGCTGGTGGCCAGGCAGAGTAGGCCAAGCCAACAGACGGCCACATCCTCTCCCAAGTGCCACAAAAAAAAACCCTTAAATTGAAGTATGACAAGAAGATAGAGAACCGACCCTCTAATATTTTTCTAATAAGACATGTTAACGTAGGAGAAAATTATGAGCAGAAATGGATCTTAAACCTTGTAACAGATCTTAAGGTTGGAATGTAATTTAGGAACTTCAGATTAAAAAAAAATGTCAGTAGATATAAAATTAAAATACAAAAACTAAAAACAAAACAAAGACAAGACACTGGATATATATATAAAAAAAAAAAACAGAAAATATGCCCACACAGCAAATTCAAAGAAAGAATGAATATGCCTTTGGATTAAAAGAAGAAAGCAAAGAATGAACAAGTAAAAAAACTAATTTCAATTACAGTGATACATACCTTGTAAGTCTTTCATATTTTGGTCTAAAAGCTGTGAAGGAAGGAATCCAGAGCCTGTCTGAGGCTTGGAGTCTGGCTCTCCCAGGGACCCCGATGGTGCTGGGTCCTTCAGCCTATTGTCTCCAAACACAGCGGCCCACTCCTGGCTGAACTCGCCTTCTTCCAGGGAGGATGCGTTGAAGATCTCGTTCAGCAGCAGCAAGTCATCCTTGTCAGCACCTTCGGGTTCTGGGGTCCCTGCCATTGGGCCCAGGCAAGCTGGAGTAGAGCATAACACACGTGACTTCCCAGGGCTCAGCCTCAGAAATAACTGTTACAGGGGCTGAATTGGGACAGATTGGGTTAAGGCTAGATTTAAGAAAAAAGTGAATCACAATATGAATTTATTCCATAATAACCTTTCTTAACACATTTTATAATTAAACGTTGAATTCCATGTTCCCTTATACTCCTTCCTCCAGAGCAAGCCCAGGTTCTGAGTATCAATAGAATTGCATTGAAATATTTTCCAGGAAAACCCTAGGGTTTTGTTTTATCTTTAACATAAAAGCAGATGTACCAAAACATTTCTCAGATCTGAAACACAGCCAGGACTGAAAGCCTGTTGGAGATCCTGGTTCCTTGTTTGTGAAGCTTCCTGAACCTTCCCACACAAGCCCTCAATGCACACTGCCTGGGCTGGAGCAGCCAACATACCATGTGGCAGCCTGTCCTGCCACCCAAGCTGGGGAGAGAATTTCACCACACCCTGGCCCAGGGGAGAGTGCCGGAAGCCCCACAATGCCCAAGAAAAGCATCTTTGCTTCTTTGCTGAAACACAACTGCTGGAAGCAAAGAAGATTGGGTCTGATTAGTTTGGGGGCCATAGTGAGGGAGAAATAAGAGAAAGTGGACAAATGAAAGACTGACCCAAAGGCTGGGATTTAAGGCCAGGAACACAGTTCTGGAGGGTGGAAATGAACACCAGACACAACAGGAGCTCAACTCCACACCTTTCTTACTGTGTGACTTAGCAAGATCCATAACCCCTCTGAGCCTTGGTCTTTTTATCTCTAAAAGTTACGATATTAGTGATGCCCACCTCAGAGTGTGGTCAGTGTGAGTGAAAGAATACACCACCTCACAACTCATTGCCTGTGTGGAAGGAAAACTTTAAAGAAGACTGTTCACAGATGAACACTGGCAAACAGTAGTCAATACATGTAGAATGGTGGGGGGGGGGGTATTAATATCAGAAATCCTATAGCAACACTCTCATTGAGTTTTCTACATATTTTGTAAACTGATAGTTTGATTAAGTGTGGTTTTGTTGTGGTATCTAATTGCCACCTGGAAACTAAACCTTTTGGTTGTTAAGTCATAAGGTGGAGGAGAAAAAACAAATCATGACATTTTTTTTCTGAGCTACACTGGAATTCTGATACAGTCATATAAAGTGAAAGTATCAAGTTTTCCTCAAATATATATGAGATAATTAGTAAGTGGAGGCTTTTTCTTTTCTTTTTTTTTCTTTTCCTTTTTCTTGAAGCTTCCCTGTGTAGGCTTTACTGGATCTATTTTCTCCCCCACACTTTACATAAAGATCTAAAGATTAAGGGGATTTTTGATGTGAACAGACTGGCTATAAATCAGGGAAGGGAGAAGTCTAGTCACTCATATCACTGTGGTTTTAAAATAGTGGCAAAACATCACTTTAATCAGACATCTGTCTAATTTAAGCATTTTTATTGTTTGTATTATCAAAGAAATGTTCACCAAGACATAACCTATAGGTGTGGTGGGTGGGAAGATGTGGAGGTGGCACCTTAAACAGACTTCTGAGACAGTGCTGTAGGAATAGGGGCACACAGGGACCAGCCAGGGAAGGCAGGGCTGGCAGGGTGAGGTGGGCAGCCCACCTCTGTGTGGGACAGAGACTCGATGTTCAGCTGCCATCAACACTCACATCCTCTTTCAATGTCTCTCAGTAATACCCTTCTAATTTATGTGGAGTTTTCAAATCTCTGTACTTCCTACTTTCAGGTGGGACTGGAATGCCCAAATCTTTCTCATGGTTTACTTTCTGATCTGACTGAAACCTGACGATTACTAAGCCAAACTCATTTAATTGGAACCAAGTTCAAGTCAATGGGCAGGCCCGAGAGGAACAGAGGACTTTAAATGAGCTTCAGAAGTGAAGTGTGTGCCTTCCACAGTCATTTTACTCAGGCCTCTGCTGGGTCAAGCCCCAGGGAGGCTTCTCTGCTGCAATCCAGAGGCCCAGCAGGGAAGACCACTGCTGACATGCCAATGACAAGCAAGACATTCTGTGCCCTCTAAAAAGAACCACAGGCTGTGAAGGCTCTGTTTTCACTTTTATTGTTTAGGTTTTGTGTGGTGGTGTTTAGAGTGGACTTGAGTGTCTTTGCTAACTTAGCGTCTCTTCCTTCTTCTTCAGTTTTTCTTTTTGAATGCCATGAGCATGTGATCCTGGTGAGGCATTTCTTAGGATGCCTCATCGTCCTCCACCCAGGTAGATATGTTGTAGCCAAGGCATTGCTCAGGCCACTGTGACTGGCTCAGGGCACATGCCAGGAGGCTTCCCTGAGTTTGGCATATGGGAATTGGATGGAGGAGGGTTTGTCTCTCTTGCTCTGGGATTCCAGAATTCAAAGATGCAGACTTGAGGCTTCTTATAGTAGTAAAGCCAATACAGAGAAGGAAACAACCTAAAGAGTTGGGAAGAGAAACTTGACAGCTTTAGGCCCTGGATCCAGTCTTACTTGAAGACAATCTACTACTATGGGTCCCCAGTTACACAAACTAATATATTCTTTTTTTAAAGAAAAATTCTAAACCTAACCTATTTCAAGAAGGGTTTCTATTCTTGCAACCAAACAATTCCTGATTAATACTCTGTCTTATCCAACTCAAACATTTTAGTCACAGAAATGAGGAAAAGGCCCCCTTTGTCAGGATGACACCACTAGTGGCCAGTCCTGGAATTGCCCTATTATATAGTATCCTGGCTCTTGAATAGTTAAAGAAGGCTGCACAGTGAACATTTTCTCTTTTAAGAGAACTTATTACTTAGCTGAAAGCAATGAAACTGGCACTGACTTGAGCCATAAAACATGGAAACCTCCCAATTATTGCACTGATAATTAAGATGCCTGAAATTGCTACATATAACTTGTAAGAAAAACTTAATTACAAGTAGAAAAGGACAGGTTTAGGTCTGTAACTGGACAAGTCAAGACTTGAGAAATAACATTAGTCATTAGGCTATCATGCTATCATTTTCTTTGAAATTAATTCAACTCAACTGAGAGAAAATGAAGACACACATAGAGATACGATAAGCTCTCTGAGAGAAGCCCTGGTGAGAGCCACACAACTGGGGTCAGAGCTTCCACCCATGGAGACAAGCAGGGATTGCTCCTGGGTTGTGTCTCAGCCTGCTTTTGTCTTGTAGATAAGCAAAGGTTGTGCCACACTCAGGTGCCAGCCCCGCAGATGCCACTCTGAGCCCCCTTCTCTCTGGTGCAGACTCCCACTCTCCATGTTTGCTTTCCTATCTGATAACCTAGCCACAGACGTTACTGTACAAATAAAAGCCGACAGACATGACGCACACATAGGCTCACCTCTCTGTCTCCAACTCTATGACCCTCTGTGCATTCTCTCTGCCCTTCTGAAATTAGCCCTCTCCATGCCCTCCCCCCTCCTTCTGGAAGCTTCCTCTGCTCCTACCAATATTCTACTTCAGTAGCTTTAGCCTTTCATTCTCCAGGGCTTCTTTTCTCTGGCCAGTGATAATCAATATTTGGCTTGATATTGCAGTCGGCCACCTCTATCCTTGCTGTTCTCATTTCCCTGGTCACTTATTCTACTGTGTCTCTATTTTTTTTTTTTTTTCAGCTGCTGGCAATTAAGTTCCCATCCCCATGCTACACTGAAGTGACTCTCTGGAAGGTTACTGGGGAGATCCTAAGGGCCAATCCACCAAACTCCGTTTTTCAGGCCTTGAGACCTCTAGCATTTTGCAGTGCTGCCTTGCTCTGGAAATGTGATCATCTCCTGGGAGTCCCAATGAGGTGGCCCTCTTGAGCAGTCTTCTCTGCTGCCTCTTCCTACCCTGGTAGCCCTTAGCCTTCATCCTAAACCATCGCCTCCCTTCCCTACAATTCTATCAGAGATCTTATCTATTTTCATGGTTCCAAACTCATCTTTGAAAATCTCCAAATCTCTGTCTCTGATTCCATGTTCTTCCTTCAATTTTGATGACAAATTGGGGCAGAGGGACCTTCTGCTTTGCCCACTGGAGAGGCTTCTGGTGCCCCATGAGGCAGCCTCCTACTGTGCACCATTGCTCAATATGACTGTAAGATTACTCCCTCATTCAAAATCCTTCATGGCTCCTTTTGACTCCCAATACTGGCATTCAGGACCTCCACAGTCAAGCTCTAATGAAACTCTTTCAGCCATACATCAACATTCTCCTGGGAAGCCCCATCTGGCAAAAGTCTGCTAACCATTGCTCAAATGCACTTTCCTGTGTGAGACCGGATGTTTTCTCCCAATAAGAATCATCTTTTTTCCTCCTCTTTCTCCTCCTCCTCTTCTTCCTCCTTCTTCTTCTCCCTATCCTCCTCCTCCTCCTTCTATTTTTCTTCTCCTTCCCCTTCCTGTTCTCCTTCTCTCTCATTTTTCTTGCATCCAAAAGGGATCTTAAAGACCATTTCCTTTAACTTGTTTTACAAATGAGGAAGAAGACACTCAGGTTAGATGACCTGCTGTAGGTCACATAATGTTACTGATGATCTAACCATGGACCCCAGACTTAAAGGTCAATTTTCTCACTGTGGTAGCCTTCTTTTATTTAAAAACCCATTTAGGATCTCATACACAAACTACTAAGAAGCTTTTGCCAAGCTTTTGTAAAGTGCTGAGAATTTCAAAGGTCAGAGGACTCTGCTGGCAGCTGGGTACCATGCAGGCACTATGGCAGGACAGCATTGGCAGACCCACGCGTCAGGCCCACAGCATACATGGCCCAGGTTCAGAAGTAAGAGCCCCAGGCCCTGGGAAAACATTCCCCAGGAGAACTGGTCCCGAACCAATGGGCTCTATTTCTTGAGAACTCAAATACAGAGTTCAGTGTGGGAAACCGGTGACAGCTGGTACAGGTGTTATTTTGAAGTCATACTGAGTTTCATGACCTCAGCATAAATTAGGAAAACAGAAGATGGAAACATAGCAACACAGACTGAAAACGATAGCCTAGGAAAACAAACAGATAAATGTCACTTATTTTACCTTCATGTGTGTGTGAAACAGGAAGAGTCACTTCTCTGGGTTTCTCCCTGGCCCCCACTCTCAACCTGATGACTAATCTTAAAGGCCACATGCTTGCAGTGCCGATGAAAACCCCAAACACCAACACCATCCTCACATCGCCCAAAAGAGAATGGGGGAAGATGGGTAGGAAACCACCTTACAAAAAATGTCTAACCAGAAAAATATTCTTCATTACACAAGACTCTGGTAACAAACTGTGCTTATTTGGAATTCTAGAATGATGCTTCTAGAAAGTCACTTCTGCCTTAAAAACAACAACAACAACAACAACACAGATTATAAGAACAGGTATGGGGAGGGAGGGAACCACCCCTACCAACTCTAAAAAATAAAAAGAAAAGAAACAGTCTCATAGTGCTAGGCCTGAATAGGCACTAAAAAAGTTCTTGTTCTGATCTCCCATTCTATTCCTCCATTTTTAGTCTTAGATCTTAGCAACCCAGCAGCCTCAGTGAAAAACAAGACACGTGGGGCTAGGATGAGTCTTTATAGAATCTTGATAGTGATAAATTTATGTAGAACACTATTGCCTACATGGTTATTAAGTAAAAAACAGCATTTGACTGTAAAAGTCTATCATTACTGAGCTGGGGACATAGCTTAGTCATAGAGCACTTGCCTAGTGTGTGCAAGACCCTGGGTTTCATCACCAACACCTCAAAAAAAAAAAAAAAAAAAAAAAAAAACCCAAACCCAAAGTATGTCATTATTCATGAAAGGACAAAACCAGAAGAACACCCCAGAATACAGAGGGAGGGAGGCAGGAAGGAGGACAAGTGTATGAGGAAAGATAAAGAGCTTAGTAGCTTAGTACTTGCTTTATTGCGTGTGAGGAAGCAATCAGGTCCTTAGTCTGACTATACGAAGGCTGCACGAGACAGTTCTAAGTGACTCAGGAGAAGCAAAGTGCTGAGAGAGAAACTGGTATGATTACTACAGGTCAAAGGTTCTCACCCAGACCTCTGGTAGCGACTGAATGAACTGTCGTTCTGATATGTGACCAGAGTTTAGAATCCCAAGTAGTAATCAAGGGAGTAACAGAGACAGATATGTTATTCCAACATGAACAATTAAATTGTGTTTTAAATGGAGTAGGTAAGTCTTGTCCTAGAGAGGGACCTTTTAGGGAAGGTCAAGTGATAAGGTTTAGGTGAACTGAATTTATCTAAATCTTGTCTTTTTTTTAAAAAAAAAATATATATACATTCTGTTCATTTACATGCTAGTTATTTCTCTTGTCCAAACTTTGAGAAACACCAATACTTCTACATGTTATAATTCCTGAATTGAGCTGATTTTCACATGTATTACACAAAGTGATTTCAGAGCCACTTTCAAGTATCTCAAAAATGTCACTAAGTTTCTTCTTCATTTAAAACATTTTTAGGAACTGTGGTCAAATAATGGTTTCCCTATTACATTACTATTTAGTAGGAGAAAGCAAATTTCATTAGGACACTAACTTAGAGTAATTTTCTGGGTAGTGGCGCTTTGAGAGTCGTTGTTGTTGTCATAAGCTAGTCTGCTTTTTGATAACACTGTACCCCAGATTAGCCATTATGTCTGGCAGAATTACCACTGGGAGTGAACTGGCCCCAAAGCAGCAGGGTGCTAGAGCTTGTAGCCTGGAGTCCTATAAAACCAGCCATTCCTGGATTAAGCTCTTTTTATCTCTTGACTATTTAATATCTTGCATATTATAATCAGTATTTCAATTCGGGGTTTGGGTCTTCAGGCAGCATTTCACAGGACACATATGTGGAAGTCAACAAATTAATGAGTATTTTTCTCTTTGGCCACCACAGGTTCTCTGAACACTGAGAGTAGATACTTATACCAGTGGTCACATTAATATGTAAGCTGATGCCACCCTATGGGTTGGCAACAAGTAGAGACAGTGGGGACGTATAACTCATGCCTAGAGAAGGGCCTTGTGGGCCCGCGTGACAAAGGGGAAGCAGGAGTTATGTGACACTTTGTTCAATTTAGAAGATTTGCAAATCAATATTTCTGCCTGAGAACAAGTACACATGTTAGGGAAGAGCATGTTTGTATTTGCATCTTTAGAATTAAAGTGTTTGTCCCCCAAAAGGATATGAGTTTCTATTCTACAAAACTAACAAACAGGGTAACTGTAAACCAATGAGGTTTGGAGGCTGTTTTGAGTAGGAGGATACCCAGCTTACTGCGATCTCTCTTGGCACACACAGAGAGACTTACAAAAGTAAGTATATATCTCAGGCAGAAACCTTTTGATTTAATTCTATGAAGAAATGCTGGATAGTGGGTTAGGGTTATAGAATTACTATCAAGTTTTCTAAAAAAATCCAAAACCCAAAGCCAAGAACCAATTTTTGTAAGAAAGGGGAAAATATGAGGATGTAGCGTCATGATTACTGTGTCTGAGTATAGAAAACACTGGCAGGATACGCCAGGGTTGGGAGTATTGGAATGGGGGTGGGGTGGGGAATAGGAATGGGAGCGAGTGTTTTTAATACCATTTTTATTATTATTTTCATTTTAATCTTAATGTGAATATGCTACCTATTCAAAAGTTTAATCTATTAAAATAACAAATTTATATAGGGTAAGAATAAAGTCAAAGAACAAATGACATAAATGAAATGTTGAGATTGGGAGGAATGTCAGTCTATCAAGACAAGCTGAAGTGTATGTGTGATTATAAATACATTTGTTAAGTGAAACTGGGTGGTGGGTATCTAGAGCTTGCTGTTCTTTTTATATCATTTTGGTAAGGTTGAAATATATCCCTGTCCAAAAAATAATAATAATAACTTGTAAAAGACACCTTCATTCCACCAAAATATTCTACTATTAAGCCAAGAAGAGGAAATTTTTACAAACACGGAAGCATGTATGGTAATCTGCACTCTTTACCTATTAATTTCATTACATGATATAATATCAGCATTTACAAATGACTAGTAATATTGATTAAATATGCACAGACATTCAAAAAATATTGCACAATATGTTGCCTGCAGTAAGATAATAAGAAAACAGACTTCTGCTCTCAGGTTTATGCACCCCAAGCCCTGGAAACGTAACACCAGAGCTATAGTGGCTTTTCACCCTTTTTAAAAAATATTTTTGTTTTTCAGTTGTGGTTGGACACAATACCTTTATTTTTGGTGGTGCTGATGATCGAACCTAGTGCCTCGCATGTGCTAGGCGAGCGCTCTACCGCTGAGCCCCAACCCCAGCCTGACTTTTCACCTTTGAAAAATCTTTAATCAATGTCCTCTGTTTCCCAGAGACTTTCTTCCTCTCACACTTTGTGAATTAAATCCACATCAAGCTCAGACTGAGTTGAGTCATCTACCCCAGTTAACTGAGGCCCACTGGATGACTTTGGCCTATTTCAACCCCGTAAAAAACCTGCATGACCAGGGCAGACTGTGTCCCAGTCACCAAGACAAAGATGCTCTGATGTTTGACTCAGAATCTCAGGAATATTTTAGAACCTGGGTAAATCATTAAAAGGAAACCCTTGGTAGGATGGAAAACAAAGGCTATGATCAAACTAAGCACACTCAATTTTGTGGGATTACTCGGCCCTGGAGAGTCACATCTGAATCCATGGTTCTACATTCTCTCCTGAGGATTTATACAGTAAGGGATTTTAAGGCTGGTAAACCTGGGAGTCAGACTTAGCTAGGCAAACTCTCCCTCTACATTTTTTATGGTAGTGAAAATGTTTTCTATAATATTATAATGGTAGATATGTGTCCATTGATGTTTTTAGTATCTGTAAAATGTATTTCAGCAAGAGCAAACCCTATGCAACCTGTGGACTTTGGGTGATAATGACGTGTCAATGTGGGCTCACTGATCATAACAAATACACACTCCAGGGCAGGAAGCTGACAGTGGGAGAGGCTATGCTTATGTGGGGGCAGGGGCGCTTGGGAAATCTCTGTACTTTGTGTCCGATTTTGCTGGGAATCAAAAACTGTGCATGCATGCATGTGTGTGCACGTGAACTAGAACAGCCTTAAAACTCAGTTTGCTCCTGTGTTCATTGGAGGTTTCAATGGAAATGCAGCAAAGCAAAGCCCTATACAAAACCTCTCGTCCCACTGTTTCAACATCAAGAGTGCCCTGTATCAGTGACCATGAATTACCCCTTCACAAACCTGAGCTCCAATCCTGACAGTAATCCAGCAAGATTGTTGCTATCAGTTCCATTTACAAATGAGAACAACTGAGGCTTAGTAAAGAGTTTAAATATGAAGCAAATTATTTAAGGCCACACAGGCCATTTATGGTAGAACCATAATCCATATCTACATAGCCACTGTTTTCTCTGACAGTATGTGACTTTTGACATAACTTTTAGCTTTAGTAGTTTGAACATTATGAAATTAACTATAGTAACAATGGCAGCTCCGCACAAACTAATATGTGTTTGGGCATATTTAAGATCATTTATAAAGACTGTCACCTAAAAATTTTTGCTTTGGAGTGCATAAAAAGATAAATATTATATTTTCTTGCATATAAAAAAGGAACTAAAACTTAAACAAATCACAGCCTCAAAGAACTGCATAAATCTTACCACCTTCCTCAGGTTTCATGTCTAATAATTCATCCAGAGGTCCTTCAGAGAAGGGGAAAGAAAAATTATGAGTTAGTGTCATTTTATAAGGAGTCTGAGTAAAATGATTGCATTTTCCTTAATCTAGATTACCTGAACATGCATTATGTGTGGAGCTTTTGTCTAAGGCAGATAAAATACTTTTTCCTTCTTCACCTGTAAGCAAACATATGCAACTGGTCATCACCAACTCAGAATGGTATGTGCATGCATGGACGACAGCAGTATTGGCAAATGCACAGCTTCAGGAAGAAATAGCACCCATAAACTCACTCATGTAGAAGCAGGGGTCCTCAGATTATGTTTTATTTCAGTTGTTGGCTCTCAATGAATGTAGAATTAATCCTAAACCTCTGCTTTGTTTGGTGGATAACCCTCAAAATGATATGACACAGGCCTAACAATTCTCCTTCCATGGACAAATGTGTGACTTAAGTTAACTGGCTGTTACTTGATGCTGCCAATGAACTTTTGCCACATGGGCCTGGATAAGATAAAAAGGCAGATTGTTAAGCGAAAGAAGCCCATTTGAAAAGGCTGCACATTGTATAAGTTCCACAATATGACATTCTGGAAAAGTCAAAACATAAGAGACACTAAAAAGGTCAGTGGTTGCCAAGAGCATGGCAGAGGGTGAGATGAATGGGTGGAACATAGGATTTTTAGATCAGTGACAATATTTTGTATAATACTGTAAGGGTATATACATGTCCTTTTATGTTTTTAATATCCATAAAGTGTAAAACAGTGTGGAGTTATTGATTATAACAAACACTTCTTTGGTGTAGGACTTCGACAGTTGGAGAAGCTCTGCTTATGTAGGGGCAGGGGCAAATGGGAAATCTCTGTACTTTGTGTTCAATTTTGCTGTGACCCCAAAACTGCTCTAAACAATAAATTGTGTGTATGTGTGTGTGCCCGTGCACATGCAATAGAACCACCTTAGAACTCAGTTTGCTCATATGTTCATTAGACTTTCTGCAGGTCACAAAATACAAGGCAGATGCCACTTCATTATAATGAATTCCATCCTGTGTATATATAAACAAGGTGACAGACATTTGCAGTCTCAAAATATTATGCAAATACCACATGCAATTATACTGTACAAGGAATAAGAAGATTTGCATATTCTATATTTGCATATTATATATTCATACAATATGTATAGCCACATATTGTATGAATACATAATTTGTATAGATTTTTAACTTGCATACAAATATAATAAACTGGAGTTACAGTTTACCACAGAACTAAGTTTATCCTATTCTATGACCTCCAGTCCCACAATATTAATAATGCATGCTGTAGGTCCACTGAGGGTCACTGAGGCTGGAAAGCTTGGATCGATACAGACAGAGAGCCCTTTCACGGCCAGGGAGGTCAAGCCCAGCCTCTCCACCATTTGCTGCCCCCTCTCAGGCTCTAGAGTATCATTCTTCTGACCTTTGCATGGTCCTTCCTGGAGCATAGCCTCTGCCTGGGCTGTTTCTTTTGCTTTGACAAGTCTTGCAATCGTAGTTGGCTTTGGTGTGTCCCTGATCCCCTCAAATAGGTGAGGCAACTTTGTCATGTGCCCAGAGCCCTGCAGTTTTCCTTTGTAGCTCTTACCGAAGTTGTAGTTGCCCAGTTGTGTGAATATTAGGCTACCATCTGCTTCCCCTTTTGACTGTAAGCCCCGTCCTGGAGGGGCCTGATTATGTGTGGTACACCACGGTCTGCCTGGAGCCCAGTGCTGTGTCTGGCACAGAGGCAGATCCCCATACACAGCTGCCATACAAACAAAGCAGTCTGTGAGTTCTGAATATGTGAAGGCTCACACGCACGAGCAGATGACAGGAAGCCAAGCACTGGAGACCAACAGTGGGCTGCCCTTATTTTTTATTTTCTTTCTTTCTTTTTTTAAAAAATCTGTTGAAAGGCAGATAGGAGACAAGCAAATGAAGGTGTGAAGTGGGGAAGACAAATGTAGCTGAGGCAAGTGATTGGAAAACTTGAAGGAAGAGAGAAGAGAGAGGATGAAGGAGAAGAATGAAACAGAGGGAAAGTTCTAGAATCTGCTTTGCCACCTCCTGGATAGGCTGCCATAGCACAGGGTCAGGTGATTTCAGTTCTCTTCATAAAACTTGTACAACCTTCCCCTGTAGCTCTGAGGCTTTTGAGTCCCTGTTTTAAGGCTCAGAATTATATCACCTTAGTTCTACTGTGATTTCCCCTCTACGCCTTCATGAGGTGAAGAGCCAACGAAGGCTGGCAGTAATGTAGGAGACAGAAGAAGCTGGAGGCTTTTTTCTGTTCATGGTGTCACCTCCCAAAGCTCTGACGCTGTTCCCTAACCCAAGGGAGCTGGTGCCACTCACAACAGGCAGCCTGAAGACCTGCCTAACAGAGCAGAGTTGGGGCTCTCACTATCTATCCCTAATAACGGCCAACACCCACATACAAATCACGGGGGACTGGGGGACTAAACCCTCCCCCTGTAGTAATGTGACCTTGCTAAAACTATCTCTGCACCCACACGACAGTTTGAACAAGCAAAGGCAATATCATAATCATACTGTCTTCTATGGAAAGAGAGAGCTTTCTGCTAGGCCCACTTGTGGTTACAGAAGGGCTGCTGTTGGAGAGACCAAGGATACTATTTTCAGGTTCAAAATATACATTGTCTCTCAGTAATGCCATGGGGGTTGATTGACACCGTTGATATTTAAACATTTAAAACTAAAACTGCACTGGGTGCCATGGCACAGGCCTGTATGCCTAGCAACCCAGGCAGCTGAGATGGGAGGATGACAAGTTCAAGGCCAGCCTCAGTAACTTAGCCAGGTCCTGTCTCAAAATAAACAAAAAGGACTGGGGAACGTAACTCAGTGGTAAAGTACCCCTGGGTTCAATCCCAAGCATTCCCCAGCCAAAAAAAAATCCTGAAATGGCAGGAAGCAAATCCATATAGTCTTTTCTCAATTGGAAATGAAGAAAGGCCTAGAGGGAGTTCCCCAAAAACCCCAAAAACTGAGTTGGCTGTTGAGCATTAAGTAGTGTTTGAGAACAATTCTAAATGAAAATCAATACTTACTCTTAAAACTGCAGGATTCCTTGTGTTGGTTTTCATCCTCTAATGAAATTAACCTTAAAATTTAAAAAAAAAAAAGTTTTTTTTTTTCAGTCATCAAGTCTGGCAAATATTATAGTTATGATACAGCCAGATTTTCAGTACAATATCTTTTACCTCAATTATAACCATACACACACACATACAGACACACATATACACACATACATAGTCATTTATATGCTATATATTTTCTAAAGGAGAAATAAATTTTGCTAGCTTTATTTTCCATTCTGTAACATCTTAATTTATGAGTTTGGTTTCCTAATAAGGCACATTTTCTGTAAATATCTAGATGGGTAATTAGGGATGACTAAGAGAGATACATACAATTATTACTTTTAAAACACAGTTAAAACAAAACAACAACAACAACAAAACTGATGGCCAAGCAGTGGTTTATTCTGATTCCTGGTGTTATGAAGAGGTCACCTCAGGAGATTAGCCAGACCACAGAAGGCTCACAACAGCACCACTCTAAATCCAGGTGGACAGGCAACTACTCAAACTCTTCCAGTGTCTTTAAGGACAGACACATTACAGTCCTGAGACCATTTTGGTTCCTCCAAATGATCCTCTTAGCACTGTGGTTCACTTTTACCTGCTATTTCTGAAAAACATTCTTATTAAATTTCCAATCATTTTTGAGAAACCTGAAAGTAATTAAAATGAATAAAAAAAAATCCTAGGTAGTAGTTCTATTCTGAATAATGGCTAGTGCTTTATTTTTATTGCATTAACTTATATGGAGAAAAGAAAGTGCTGAGACTTGCTCTGGGCTCTGTCTTTTACTCCACAAGGGGCAGAGGGCAGTCCCTTAACCTCTTTCAGCCTCACCTCCCTCCTATACACACCGGGGAAAGGCCTACCTGGAGGATTAGTATGAGAATGAGCAACAAATAAAGCAGCTAGCACTGTGCCTAGCATGTAGTAGGTGCTCACCAAATAGTAGCTACCATTATTACCTTACCAGGAATAGATTTCGTCTAAAATGTCAATTGGACTAATCTAGATCATATTCTACATCTGTTTGATGATGAAAAGTTGAAATTTGTCTTTGTTTTGCACCTCAGAAATTTTCTAGTATTTGTTTTGAAATTAAAAAGAGCTAATATTGACAGCAATTATTTTTTTTTCTTTTTTTTTACAAGGACATCAAATAATTCTATAGGATACAAAAATATGTTTGAAATCATATTCAGAGATGGAGTAAAAAATATAATCCCATTTTGCCATAAAGTTGTCACCTAAATCGTGTGTGTGTGTGTATGTGTGTGTGTATGTGTGTGTGTGTGTGTGTGTGTATGTGTGTGTAAGGAATAGTGGATAGAGGCAATGTCATCTACTTAGCTTTCCTGGGTCAGCCAGTTCAGAGATTAACTACATTCCTGCAGGCTACTGTATCTCCATAGAAAATGACATGGAGTCACATCTAAACCTCCTCACTGTGTGGGATCAGGAACCATGTGCCACCTATGTTGAAAAGTTCATCTGGGTATTTATAACAACAGGCGGCGCCTTGCTTGTAAAGAGGTAATAGATGGGATGGGCCCTCACTTCCTGCACAGGAAGCTGCTCTCCGCTTCACAGAGGAGAAAACTGAAAGTTTGAGCAGTGAAAACAAAATGTCCCAACCCAACACTTTTGTAGGGCAATGCTATGTGCATTCCTAAGGCAATCTCCTACATCATCAGCTTCAATGGGAGAAAAGCCATGGGGCCCCAGGCAGTGTGTGTGGGGTGTCCCCATCACAGCATCTTGTGAACAGTGGTGACCATGGGACCAGATAGGATACAGAAGCCAGAAAGAACATGAAGCTGAGGCTGAGGCCACAAGACAGGGAGCCAGACAGTATGTGGACATTTGCTCTTTCTTGTCCCAATCAACTCCTTACAAGTGTGCCCCTTCTGAGGACCCCAGAAATGGGTCTCTAAATGGGACAAATGAGGCAGGTCTAGCAGGAACTTGGGCTGAGGGAGCTGGGCCTCCAGGTAAAGCAGTGAGGAAGCTACATGGCTGAGACCCCGTCAGGACTGTGTGGACAAGACTGTGTCGCCCACACCGTGGGAAGAAAGGCCTCAGGAGACGGAGGGCTGACTTGACTTACTGACTTGGCTCCTGCTCTGCTGCTTCTGTGCTTTCCTGCTGGGCCATCTTCTTCTTTTCTTCTTTCTCAACTAGTTTTTTCATAGGGTCTTGTAAGCTCTGGATCACGAGCCATAGAAAAAGACAAAGAAAGAGAGGGGGAAGAAAAAAGAAGAAAGGAAAAAAGAACAAAAAGTCATCAATAGAAACCAATTGCCATTGGTCCCCGAGACCCCACATTTGAATCACAGGTACTGAGAGGTTACCATGAACCAGTCAAGTGGACAGAAATGAAATTTTATATGGCAAAGTAACAATATTTCCAGGCCCATGCAAGCAATTTTAAAGGAGAGTTGATTTGCCACTAGATTCATGTTTTCCCTTTTGTGATAAGTTATTCAAAAGAAGGCCTTTTGGCTATTGCTAACTTTATTTTCCAACTTCGACATGCAGCTAAGATAAACATTCTGTTCTCCTTCAGCCCACACACTGACAGAGTCGAAACTTCCTCTACCACTGCCACCAAAGATGAGACAACTTCATTTTATTTTTAATTTTGTTTGCTATTTTGTAATCTAAAAACTGTGTTAAAAATAGAGAAAACAAAACCTTTTTTTAAAAAAACCCCAAAATAGTGTCTAAACATATTCTGACAACTTAACTCCCATAAATGGACAGAGCAGGTGGGCCCAGATCTTTGTAGATTAAATGGGTGAGTTTTTTTTTTCACATCATTTGTCAAAGTTACTGTTTTCAAGGTTCATTAAATATTTAAGGAACGATTCTTTTTTTTTTTTTTAAAGCAAGGGCCCACAAATTGTATACTAGTGACAAAGGAGTGGGAAAGAAAAAGCAAAACATTTCTTTAACAACGGAGTAATGACTTATACAAAAAGATCTCTATTTCTGGCCTTAATTAAAATACAGACCTATGAATACAAAAGAAACATCTCGAGATGCCTAGCCTTCTTACATTCCTAGAATATAATGTCCTAATTCTTTGGGCCTTCACCTCTCTTGTTTTTCTCCTTCCTATGGTTCACATCTCCAGTGTGACAATCACAGAAGGTTCAGGCAAGTTTCACAGCCAATGCGGATGAATTAGTAATGGCTGACAGGAAGCCTGGGTGAAGAGGCTTCTAAGGCTGTGTCCAGGCAGAGCAGAGCTGTGACTGATTCTGGAGTCTGCCATGGACACCAGATGGATGTTGGTGTTATATCCTGCTAACTGCCAGCTCTGTTTTATGCCCTGTACAGAGAAATTTTCTCCAAACACTCAAGCCTTCCTGTTAACCCTTATCTGCAAGAACTTACAATAGTTCCTAATTTATTTTTACTTCTAATCTAAAAATCTCTGCCTGATTTTAAAGATCTTCTAAAATGTGACCCTATCTTCCTCTCTCAGCTGGAACCCCACTATCCACACTCTCCAACCCAATTCCAGATTTCCATTTGATTAGTCCTGTCTCCTCCTGTCACCACAGTAGGCTGGTTTCTCCCTTACTATTTTTGTTCCTCTTCGGGTCTCCTCCCTCAAAAGTCCTATGAGTCTTTTCAAAGCCCAGATCCATTACTACTATTTTCCATAAAGCTTCACTAAGCATGCCAAATTCAAGAGTCCTTCTGATTCCAAACTGCATTTACTGTCTTATTAATACTTGACCGTATCTATCTTGTATTGTTTACTCTTAAAATATTTTTTTAAATTAGAAAAATAATAAAACCATATGCAAAAAGTTTGAAAAATATAGAAAATAAAAATTACTCATATTTCATTCCTTTAAAATGATGAGTTGTTATTTTTTAGACATTTCCTTTGTTTTTTTGTACTCATCCTACTTAGATATTGGAATCACTGTTATCTATATATTTTGTAGAGGAGTAGAGGTTTATTATGTTTATTATGGTGGAGAATGTAAGATGATTATATCTCTCTGCATTTATTCACCTATATTGTAACATAGGATCAAGGTTTTCTGAGCATTTGTCCTCTGATTGGAGTTCTGAAGCATTTTCTTGCATAATGACCATCTATAAGGCATCACTATCATTTTTAATGATGCCCTCCTTCTGGACATTTAAATTAGCACATCCATTCAACAGCTGGTTGGTGAGCACCTACCAAGTGCCAGGTGCTGTTCTGGATGTACTAGTGAAGACAGAATTCTCAGCTAGTAATAGGCGTAGGCAGATAATTAAAAGAGAGGACTAGAAAGTGACTGGATCATTACTTCAGGGAGCAGGGTTGTTCTCTCTTGGAAGAGACATTTCAACTGAGAGCTAAATGACAAGGAGACAGTCCTGTGCAGCTCAGGGATAAGAGAGGGCCCCCCAATGCAAAGGTCCAAAGGTGGGAATGGCTTAGCTTGTTTAAGGAACAAAAAGGCTGCCTCTGGGGTTGTGATGTAGTTGGCAAGGGTACAAGTGTTATGAGACCAGGATGAAGAGGCCGGCAGGGTCACACAGCGAGACATTCCTTTACTCAGAGTCATCAATATTTAACATTTGCCCCATTCGTTTCATCATATTCTTCTGCTCGATGTGTCTCTCTATAAAGAATAACTAAATGCAACCCATGATCCTTTGCTGCAGCCTGGACCAGAGGGAAAAATACTACAAAGGACAGTGTTGGAACAAATAAGACTGTGAGTATGATCTGCAGTCTAGACGGTCATGATTTTTTTATCTACTCCAGCATCAGGTAAAAGTGGGGTGTGTGTGTGTGCGTGTATGTGTGTGTGCGCGCGCGTGCACACGCATTCTGGAAATGTGCAGTTGCAGGAGTTCATCAGACGTCAAGGACGCGCTCTTTTCAATAGATCTGCCAATCACAGCATTTTATTCACACACACATACACCCTTTACAGCAGTTTTATTCCCCACAGAATGGTCCAACTCTGGTCACAGTGAATCCAGGAATATTTTCAGCCAAGGTTCTGATGCCTCCCAGGACTCACTTTCAGATTCTGTGACACTTGCCCAGGCCTCCTGGTTTGCTCAATTATCTTCTCATTGTGTTTCTTTTTTATCAATCAACGCTAGGCAGGGCCAGGACATGTCTGCCTCAGCCGGCTGCTTCGAGCTGCCACAGCCCTTGCTTAAACCCCTGAGATGCCCTTGACAGCTCCACGGTTATCATCCCTTCTGTCTCTAGCCTGACCTCCCCTCCTGACCACACTTGAGCAGCTCTCAGACAATCCCTTTGTAATGTAAACCACTCATTCCTTCTTTTCAACCCCTTCCCCTGTTGGGCCATTAGCAGGGACTCAATTGTTGGCTCCCTGTCACCACAATCACAGTTAAGACACTATTGTGCTTCCCCAGCAGAATGGCTGCAGTTCCAATTGCTACTTTAATTTATTATTAATAATTCCTGTGACAATTGTGCCTCTCCTCCTACTCACCATTGTCCCTATAACAATTTGGCTTCTGAAGTTTGAGAGAGGTGCTAAATATATACTTGTTGGTTGATTAATTAATGTGCAAAAGGTTAAATGAAAAAAAAAATTAGTTCTCTTTAGCTAGGATATGTAAAGACTCAGGGGAATAATATGAAAAGTTTATAAAACCACAAGCAAAATTATTATGAGCATGTGAGCTTGTTTATTAAATATTAGAATTTTGAACCAAGGGACTCTTTTGTGTGCCCACGTCAGCTTAACCAAAATATAGATCACAAACCCTAGAATTTGGATATTTTTAAGGTGTATAAGTGAATAATGTATAGCATGTTCACAAAATTGTACAATGGTCACCATAATCAATTTTAGAACATTTTCTCTTTTTAAAGTCTTCACCATACTAATATTTATTAATGGAAATATTTATTGTTATTATAGTAAAAGCAGATAATATATCGGGAAATATCTAATATAGGAGAAGTACTTGTTTTAAAAGTTTGTTTTAAAATTTGATATTTTGCAAATCATCTGTATCATTTTTTATAATTTCCATTTTTCTGTCAAAATGTTTAATTTTAGAACATTTTCAAAGGGCATCTCTTGAGGGAGTTTTCAGATCAAGCTAAGCTAAATGCTGTTCTATAGAGCAAGGAATAAAGTAACACCACATATGGAACTTGTTTCTCTCTAAAGATGGTACACATTGAAGATATAAAGAGGCTAAGTTAGGGAACTCGGAAAGATCATGGAGGACAGATCAAATCATGTCCCTTCCCCTCCCGGCAAATTAGTTCCTGGGTGTGACTGTTAGATTTGTAGGGCGCATGAATCCTCTCCCTAGTTTGACTACAAAGCCTCAACCTGGGTGAGAGGGTTGAGGTGAATCGTCAGATCAGTTTGAAGTCCGCCGCTCAGCTGAAAACATTTAACTCAACAGCGTTCGCGGAAGTCAGGGGTGACAGCATTTTTCATGTGACATGAACACCTGCTCAGGCCTAGTGAGGGAAAGAGGTGTGGCAGGCTGCATGCAGATGGGGCGGCATCCGATGGAACTGTTTCCAAACGCTGGCTGAAGAAGCCACGTCTGAATACACGTCCAGAAATGAGAACTCCATTGTCTATAAACCCCCAACCCCCTCAGTCCATCATTAAAACCGCTTGTGAAAATCACTGGTATTAGCAGCACACAACATCATACAAGACAGAAAGCTTCTTTGCAGAGGAAAGAATGTTCTAAGAATAAGTAACTTGCTCTGTTAGGGCTGCCCCAACATGCTAATAGTTTCCATCAAGGCTTAAATGGCTTTGGAAAGCACACACACAATATGTAAGACCATCATGGCAGAGGAAATAAGCAGACCCAGCTTGCAAAAGCGTCTTGGAAAGGAAACAGCTTAATAGAATAATGGGAGTTACTACTTCCTGTATTAGGAAAATAAAAGCAACAACAACATTCATTTGAATGGATGCAAAACTACTGAGCAAAACAAATTTCCCAGACAAAAGAAGAGCAGCCAGTTCTAATAATCTAAATTTAAAGTCTCACTTAGAGGATTGAGTAGCGTTTCCTCTGATCTTTAATTATGACAACTTAATTTCCTTATTCTACTTTCCATTAATTACACTGTGTGAATAGGAAGGTGTCAAATAATTGTCAATATAAGGAAATAAAAGTATTCAGAATGGCGGGGCATGGTTAAAAGACGCTGAACACAGCTG